TTTTTTTTTTTTTTTTTGTCTAAGTACTTTCTAGGGTTTAAAAAAAAAAAGATTGTAATCCAACTTATATCATTGTTTCATTTTAATTATCCAAAATTATTTTGGTTCCAATTAGTCTCTAATCTTTTGTTTTGTTTCGGTTTAAGCTATGTCCGTCTCAATGTGCTAAATTATCAAAAATAATGTTGATGTCGCTAATGAAAAAAATATTTATGTTAACATAAAAAATAATAATAATAAAATAAATCCATTAGTGCATTGATTTTATCCCCTGGATGAAAAAAAAAATATCCTTGGGAGACTTTTTTTCTCTTTCCTTTTTCCTTTTATATTATAATTGCTATTTCTTCCTTTTTAACACAATTTGGCTTTTCATTATTCTTTCTCAAAATTAATTGGGCAATTTTGACAATTGAGCTTGGAAAAAATTCATGGATCAGGTATTATCTTTGTCAAAATCAAAAATCAGGTGTTAAGTTTCAAAATTGCAAAAATCAAATTTTTATTAATTAATTAAATATTTAATTGTAATTTAATATAATGTAATTAACCCACCCACCTTCACCACCCCCACCCCCTACTGCTCCGGCAACAATTTCGGTGGCCACTCTACTCCGACTATTCCGAGGAGGTCACAAATTATCAAATTATTGGTCACAGATTATTTCGAGGTCACAAATCAAAAAATATTTGGGTCACAGTTGACTTCATTGGTCACTGATCAAAAAAATTGTAAGGCACAAATGTTTAATTAGTCACAAGTTAAAAAAATTATAGATAACAGAGGTCACATATTTCCAAATTTGTTGGTCACATATTATATTTTTAGTCACAGATTATCGAATTTTAAAGTCAACATTTAATAGATAATATAGTTTGTCACATACACTCAAACAACTCGTCCCTGATCTCAATCTGCCACCAATACTTGGTCACAGATCGACCAAATAGATGGTCACGGACATTCTTCGCCGCCACCTCCACTGCCTCCGCCACCGCCACCGCCACCCACCAACAATAACACCTACAACAACCACCACCCAAACCACCATTGTCGTCGCCTGCACAGCATCACCAACATCGTCGCTCTAGTCACAACCGTTGTATGGTGGGTATTTAAATAATAGTGAAAGTTTAACATTGAAATGTTCAGTATTTAAATAACAGTGAAAGTTTAGTCCTAATCTTGTTCTTTCATTCT